GTCCAGGAGGCATCCTAACCAGATGAACCACCTCAACTGGCTCCTCTTGACGTGGAGGAGCAGCGGCTCTACTCTGAGTCCCTCCTGGATGACTGAGCTACTCACCCTATCTCTAAGGGAGAGCCCAGACACCCTGCAGAGGAAACTCATTTCACCTGCTTGTATCTGCGACCTCGTTCTTTCAGTCACTGCCCAAAGCTCGTGACCGTAGATGAGGGTAGGAACGTAGACCGACCGGTAAATCAAGAGCTTCGCAGTTTGGCTCAGCTCCCACTTCACCACGACAGACCGGTGCAGTACCTGCATCACTGCAGACGCAGCATCAATCTGCCTATTGATCCATTCCAGGCACAGTTAAGTGTTTTCCTTCTTGCCTTTGTGAAACTAAACTTTAAACTTTAAGCTAAACTGAGGAAGCACAAGCAGCACAGTAGATCTMCACAAGGATCCTGCTCTTTCCTGTCTGGGTTTTTCTGGGTACACTGGTTTCATCCACAAACCAAAAACACTGCTTTCAGGTCCAGGCCTGCCTTGCCAWAGAGATCTGTGATCTGAATGGAATTTGCCGGGTTAAATAAAGGTTAATCAAAAACTTTAGGTCAGAAGAAAAACCTTTGCTGTGGCACATCTTTACAGCAGAATGGGAAATAAAAACATAACTTTCAGGCAGCAGCAGCAGTGACAGTCACTGTGTAAAGATGATAGCTTTATGTGAAAAGGATACCCAGACAGGGCTGTGTTTAAAGTGTGGGTGGACACTTTGCCACTCCACCCTCTGAGGCTGACCGTCCAGGATGAGGAGCAGGCCCACTGACACCACCTGACAAAGGAGAAAACACACAGCAACAGCTGGATTTACTATTTAGTTTCTTAAGTGGTTGCACCTAAATTTGAAAGTTATTTGCATTCTCAATAGAGCAGAAGATGATTTTTGTTTGTTCTTTTTAACACTTCTGGGTTTATACTATAAACATGACAAATCTGCCAAATGGTTTTCTACAAATAGTTTTTGTTTAGGAAAGGGATCAGATTTACATGCCTGTACTTCATGCCTGTCTTATATACACACAGTAAAAAATAAAAAATAGATGAAATTTGTAGAAAAAGAAAGATACTAACGCTGACAGGTCTGGAGAATACCACAACAACCTTTTCCTCTTCCCGACTGACATACACACAGCTGATCATCTCTTCACGCTCGGCTGGTAAAGAGACAAACAGCTTCAGTAAAAAAGTGCAGTAAATACAGTACTGTCTGCAAAAGATACCTCCAGTGAAAGACATGCAGTGTTGAAAATTATTTCAGTTTTTGTGGCAGAGTGGTTAGGGGAGTCGTCCTGGAACCGGTAGGGTGCCGGTCTGATCCCCCATTCCTGCTGTCTCAGTTGTGTCCTTGGGCAAGACACTTCACCACTAATACCTCTGATGTGTCAATGTATGAAAGCGATTAGCACTGATTAGTCTCTATAGATTGATTTCAACAACCCCTAGCAAAAATTATGGAACCACCGGCCTCAGAGGATTTAAAAAAGCAGATCAAAGACATGACCCAAAACTAAAGTTATTTCAAATCGCAACTTTCTGGCTTTAAGAAACACTAAAATAATTCTTTTTTTAAATGTGGTAGTCAGTTACAGTTAATTTTTTAGACCAAGCAGAGAAAACAAATTATGGAATCACTCAATTCTGAGGAAATAATTATGGAATCACACTGTAGAGCCCTGGTTTGGGAATGATGAAGATGTTCCTGTATATTCTTCCAGATATTCCTGCATTTGTTTCCAGATGTTCCTGTATATCAATCCAGATGTTCCTGTATATTATTCCAGATATTCTTGTATATTATTCCAGATGTTCCTGTGTATTATTCCAGATGTTCCTGTGTATTATTCCAGATGTTCCTGTATATTATTCCAGATGTTCCTGTGTATCAGTCCAGATGTTCCTGTGTATTAGTCCAGATGTTCCTGTGTATCAGTCCAGACGTTCCGGTGTATCATTCCAGACGTTCCTGTATATTATTCCAGATGTTCCTGTATATTATTCCAGATGTTCCTGTATATCAGTCCAGATGTTCCTGTATATTATTCCAGATGTTCCTGCATACCAGTCCAGATGTTCCTGTATATCAGTCCAGATGTTCCTGTATATTATTCCAGATGTTCCTGTATATCAGTCCAGATGTTCCTGTATATCAGTCCAGATGTTCCTGTATATCAATCCAGATGTTCCTGTATATTATTCCAGCCACTTGGTCATGGTGTTCCATTATGCTCTGCCTGCCTGGATCTTACATTCTGCTGTTATGTGTTGGACTGGCCCAGGCACATCATGTGTCTGGTCTGGTAGACCCTGGTCTACATCATTCTGAGCCGTTTTTTAGTCCAAGCTAGTATATACTCTATAACAGAGATTCTTAACGCATGGGCCGCGGAGCGCCACCTTGAGGGCCTCAAAAGAACAACAGTTTTTAACTTTGGGTCGCAGAGGGCCATGGGACCACATTGATTTTGAATAAGGTGCAATACACTTTCTCACCACTAGTAGCAGTAGTGCACCA